TTCTAGGAAAATTATTTCTCAATCACAAGTCAGTGGCTAGCTAACTGCTAAACATAAAGGGTGAGGGAAAACATTCAGACATAGAATGCCTTTCTAAAAACATATTATTTTTATTTTATGTATATGAGTGTATTTCCTGCATATGTGTAAGTGCTCTCATGTTGTGCAATGCTCTTGGAGGACAGAAGAGGGCGTTGAATCCCTGGAACTGGAGTTATAGATGGCTGTTAGCTACTGAATGGGTCCTGGGAATAGAACTTGGATCCTCTGAGGGAGTAGGCAGTGTTTTTAACCACTGAGCCATCTCTCTAGTCCCTAGAAAACTTTCTATTGTGTAATACCTTCCTGAAACATTGTCTGCATCTGAACTGAGGTTAGATAAGAGGTAAAGCTAGGAAAGAGGAAAACAGAGGCTGAATGTGTCATCAAATTAATGGGCCAATTGAATGAAGTGATACAAGCAGAGTATTACAGCAGGCCCCCAACATAAGTAGTTCTAATTTGTATGAGGGGAGTTAGTATGCAGCAAGAACACATCTTCATGAAGGAAGCTGGAGAAGATTTTCAATAATAAAATTAATGGTGGAAATGGTAGATAACATTAAGGTCATGGTCTAAAAGTATATAATCCTTTACTTCATGAAGGAAAAAAGATATAGAATAAGTATGTTAGTGCATGCAAAGAGAAATATTAATTTGAGGCAAATTTGAGCTATATAGTGAGTTCCAGACCAGTCTTCAAGGAATGGAAATAAGAGACCCCAGGATGTATTACTCATGGGTGAAGGGGAGTTAAACTTAGAGAAGTCTCACTGTGCTATGTGGCTTGGATCAATTGACAGAATTTTAAAAAGGTAATTTAGTGATGTTGAACATCTTGATCAAGGAGGCCGAAAAGACTCCACCAGATGGACTTGAACCAGAGTCCAGTCTACAAAGAGGAGGGTCAACACAGAGGAATCATTTCCTCCATGCTTCCAAGTGAAGCCAGCCATAGTTGAGCAGGACCTTTGACTTATCGTCACATAGGTGGAACTGGTAAAAGAAAGGAGCCAGGGCCTCCTTCCAAGGCCATGTGACCCCTGAGGAACAGATCCTCAAACGGCCTTAAGAGAAAAAATAAATTGGTTTATATGGGCCAACTGTGTGGCCTTAAATACCCAAAAGGAAAGTATAACCAAAGATCAAAGGGGCCAAAAAATAAATTTTTAAGAGTCCATATGCATAGCTAAAGGCTACATAACAAGCAACAATGCCAGATAGGAGATACTTTCTTTTGAGTTGTTGGCCAAGGTGGCCAAAGGGACTCTCAGATAGTAATCCAGCATAGAACTGGGAAAATGAACAGCAGAGCCCAATTTTATCTAAAGGAGTATTGACAACTGATTGCT